GAGACAGGTATCAGTTAGAGATCACCTGAATAAAATTAAGAAGGATTCTGTCAATCACTCTTTCTCTGGAGTTTTCCTTAAACGTGGTCATTAATAGAAGTACCAAACCCTATACGTTTTGGCCTATGCCTGTAATAAGAAAAATATCAATAAGGAGCCTTCCCTGTACATGCCAGCAATTACATACATAAATGTGGTAAATCCTATAAAGTATAAGGGTTTGGGTGGAGAAGTTTGGATATGAAATAGCAAGGACATTGCGAGTAAACGTGGAGTGGGTTCTGGTGAAGATGTGATCAGATTAATAATTATTTATTTGCATTCCAGTTGTAAATGTACAGCTTGTGGAACAAATTGTCGGATATGACTTTTGAGCTGATCTTTGGGATGATGACTACTTTACTATCAGTGTAAAACAAGGTGAAATGCGTTAATTTGCTACATTTTGGAAATACTTGCCTTTCTCTTAATCCCTTCTTGCACTACGAATGCAAATTCCTATGAAAATAGACAACAAGCTCAACGAAAAGGAGAGTGATTCAAATTCCAAGGGCAGTGACAGGCTGAGAGTCAGTAGCACAATTCGGTATTGTCGTCTGAATTCGAGAGAGAGAAAGAGGAGGAAGGAATACTCGTACAGTTTCTTGAAGAAAATCTAGATTTTAGAATGTTGCAGACTCTCCTCAATCGCTGTAGACTGGGTCCATCCGAGATTCCAGATCTCTAAACAGATTTTCTGTTTCTGTTCCTTCCATGTCGTATTTGAAAAGAAGGATTGGATCGTGGTCTGGTTACTAAGTATGCTAATCTAAGTGCTTTTTCTAACCTGCTTGGAATCTTCTTCCTTCCTTCTCCTCCTCCTTGGCTTCATGTTCCTATCGTCTTGCGTTCCCTACAGCTTCTGTGTTATGCTGGATGGGTTGGTGAAATGTCTTTGTCGATGACGGGTCATACGGGTATTTGCACTGGGTTCGGGATAATTGTCAACGTTTACAGGAAATTAAGAAAACAAACTTGTTATTCAAACTTTGTAAAGCTAGATATTTTTTTAATGTACATTGTTTACAAAAACAGTGCACTCTCTCCTTGAAGGCCAAGGTGCTTGGTACAAAGCGACCTAAAAATAAAAGGTGTCAAAACACATAAAGAGTGAGTTGTGATCTCAGCGTTTCTGATTTTCACTTGCTTCATCATATGCTCAAAGACGAGTGAATTCCACTCGGAAATGCAATAGAAGACAGCACTGGATCAACATCAAGTACACGAAGCATCTGTGACATGAAACGTGACACCTCGATCTTTTTTGTCCCTTCTTCCTCAGTGCAAGGAAGTGACGAGAATTGCATGCGAATTCCCTTGGTTGGTGGAGAAAAACATGAGAAGAAACCACCACAATAACCGCATATTCTCAATCTACATAAGAAAGTGGTTCAATTCCTCAACTCGTCCACTTTCACAGATGCAAGAAACTGCAAAATGCATCATTCCAACGACGGAGATAAAAACAGGACGACGACTCAATCCAGTCCTCACGTCTTACTTGGCAAACCACTGAAATATTGATAAATGAGACTGGATTCAGGACTGAGTAATGTCACTTTATATCAGTAAAATTAAAGCAAATCAACAGCAGAACATGGAAAGCAATGCTGTTATTTAGTTTATCAGTCCTTCTGGAGAACAAGTGAGTGGTGACAAATATGGACATTCGTATACTAGATAAGCTGTGATCCAGTTTTTCTATTCTCAATCAGGACAAAATATATGCATGTACAAGAAAAAATGCAACCTTTGTTCCAATCGTAAATTTTACTCTGTGCAGTAGAAGAAAAAATTGAAGTATGTCAAAAGACAAAACACTGAGCTACATCAGGTTGCATTCGGATGAGTGGGTCGCTGAATCAAAATCGAAGTATTCAAATCACACTCCTCCATACGTATACTCAGCCAGAATTTCTTAGCTTTATGCAAGCGAGCATTTCGGAAAAGGTCATACGCTGGGAACACGATGTAGCACATTTTGAGCAGAAACCGTAACTGCAAAAAGTATTTTTTTCCTATTGCGAATTCAAATCGCAATTCTTTCAATCTAGATTGTCTATGGAAAGATTCGACTTTGCGGAAAAATCTCTGCTTGTCTTAAGTACTTACGTCCCTGTCAGCTCGGTGTTGGCCGAGTTTTGTTGAAATTAAAACTACGGTTGAATGAAAGGGGAAGGGTGCGAGATGTACAATTCATGATGAATTTTGCAAAATTTCAAAATCCCAATTTATGAATAACAGTAAGGACGAGTATATCATAAACTTTCGCCCACGTTCAATCATTCTGAACAGTGCTTGAAACAACATACTTAATTGACGACAAGATAACTCTTCATCAAAGATTGACGAACTTTTGAGCGGAGTTTAAATTCTAGGTCAACCTGTACATTTCTGTCACTAATGTCCATTTCATTATGCGTGATGCTGCTTGCCTAAATGTTCGAGCGCATCCACTTCCCATTATATAACTTTCCTCCACTTTCACTTCCTCATTGTTCGCATTACAATATCCCACTGCTCACTGAATATTTTCTCTCTGGATATTCTAGCTATTAATTAATTCTTCTTCGTAAGAGCATCATAGGCAGTTTATTTAGTTTGTTTCCTAAATTTCTAAAAAAGATCAAGCAAAAGGTGCAAATTTTCGAATTAACATATTTCTGCTTTAGTTAGTCATCTAACCTTTATTTTCAAAATTTTCCTGGCTTTGTTTGTAAAGCACGAATTTAGGAAACTAAAAACACGAAGACCAATTGATCTCGTGCTGTCTACAAAATTGTGACTTAAGAATAAAAACTCAAAGTGGGTATAGAAAATTCAATGAATGGTGTAAAAATGATCTAACTCGCTCTCTAGGATGTCTGGCTACGGAATGAATTTTACTTTAATTATAACTTGAATTAACAAGACAATCAACGGAAGTTAATTAAATTTTAGTAATTTTGAAATTTTTCAAGATTGTGAAAGTCTACATTTAATTTCCGTGTTTTTGTTATCGGTGAAATTTGTACAGAATTCCCTGCTGTGCTCTAATGCTCTACAACTTATTGCACAAAGGAGGACGAGACCAGCTAGACCCGGTTGCGTTAGAATTCCAACTCCAAACAATTGCTCCATGCCGTAATCATTGCAGGATTACAACAAACAAAAGTGAGGAAGGATGAAATTGACAAGAATTTAAACAAGTCCTAAAGAATGCAGTGCATATGCATCTGCTCATTTCAATGAAGCCGGAGTCCCTGTTGGGTGTTAACTTTTCATGCAACCCAGTCTTCCTCTGTTTTGTATTTACCATGATCGGGATTTCATTTTGTGCATTGTATTTTATATATTTTCCTCTGTCCAAAGAGCACCAGTAGTTCATTACTGGCGTAAAACAGGCTTTAAATAAATTAAGGGAGAATCGATACATGGAATCTTCACGCCGTTCCAACTCCTTGTAAGGCGTGATTTAGTAGAAGACGACTGATTTTAAACAAATCATTTTTAGTACGGGTGGTGGTGCAAGTAATGAACCCTTTTTTAGAAACGAAACCAGCGTTCCAACCATTTAATCATTATGCTGTGGTTGTGTAGGTACTGTACTAACTACGGGTTAAAATTGATGCGAGAAATCTGTTCTCATTACGAGTTATTAAAAATGTAAATCTCAATGATATTTTACACAACCAATAATATCTGACAATTAAAATCAATTCTACTGTTTCTAAAAGTAAATAAAAAGGCAAATTATAAGTTATAGTCAAATACATACCTCCATCATTGGGGGTGTTTTTCCATACAAAATACAATACCTTATTGAAGGGACCCTTAATTGGATAGGGAGTACCTCATAGAACCACCACATGAATATGTACTACTCAGCAATTAAACTTTATTTACGGGTTTCCACATTACACCACCACCACTTTTCTACTCGAGAAGATAAGTTCTCAAACATTATCGGGAAGTCTATTGCCACAAATAAAATAAAATAGAACCTCATTTCATTTCCTTTGAATTCAAATCTTAAAATTTTATGACCGTATAAATTACACTTCGTTTATTTAACAACAGTAGTGCGATCGAATGCATCCATAGAATTACGTACGTACTTTAATTTGCATATTGAAATGCTATTAGTTATTTAAATTTATAATGCTCATTAAAATCAAGATTTTAAGAGTTTGAGGATTGCACTGAGGCTTTGTGTTTCTTTACTAGTTAGCAGTGATCCAATATGCAATAAAGTTGGTTTACATGGGTTACTTGAATAATGCAGGGTATTTTTTTACTACAAGAGAGCAATAACTTGTAATTACTGGCCATACCCAATGATTTTTTTAACCCTTACGTATGGTATGTGCACACACTTTTTAGTGCAACGCGTTTCACTTTTTGATGAGATGATAAATTCGATGGATGATGACTTACAACTGAACTAGTTGTCATTTTCCGTCATAATTATTGTTACTCAAACACGCAGCAATAGACAGAAACCGTTTTACAGCTACCCCAATTTTGTCTGTACAAGGTAAATTGTAACCTGAGAGGCTTTACTTTATATAATACAGTAAACAGCTAATTAGTGATCAGGCAGGTTATCAGGACCAACGCAACCAGCTTTTCTGCTGTTCTGTTTGAGCTACATACATACATCAAAACATGTTCTATACTGTTTTTGACGTGGTTAAATATTTAAATTACGTGATGACTTATTATTGCGATTGATTTATTCGTTAAAAAAATATTTAAATTAGAGCAGGTCAACCACACAACTAGTTATCCTTTCATTTATCGTTTGATTGATGTTATGCAAAGGAAACAAAACTGAATTAATATAATAGCTTGAAATTTGCGTGTTTTAAATTAAACAATCCTCGTCGTCGAATGCATGCATGCATAATAATTACCAACACTGCAAATTATGTTGTTTCATAAATTGCAAATGCAAAACTAACAATTTTCTTTTATTCCAGAGAGACGAAATAAAAGGCGACGGACGAGTAGCAACGCCGTTTGGAAGGTACGTAGATACTTGCCATTTTCTTTCTTAACAATTTGTGTATCATGGTAAAAGAAGTAAGACGTTCGCGGCGACTGATGTGGATAAATGTTTGAGGTTAAATTCGAGGGACTCTTGACCTCTTCTGCGTGGTTCGATCTGTTTCCATCACTCGTGGTGCCGATAATCAACCCGCCCCGTATTATACACCACCGCATTTCGTAGACAATGAGTAGATCTTAATCCAGTCAAGAGGATGAGAAGGGCATGAAACTAGAAATCTCGAAAGAAACTCGGACTTGGCCAGCTTATGTATGTCGGATGTCGAAAAAGCTCTACTTTTCTCTTAACTGCATTACGCAACGCAAAAGTACTCAATTCTTCACCGTCTTATCCGAATCAAATCTACAAACTTTCTCTGCTCCTGTAAATTAATGAGTTTGATCCCTCAACTGATCAGGTTCATTCCAAATTTTGATTATTTTTGCGGGATTTACGTGTAATTATTTATTTGATGCTAAATAAACCAACTACTTACTAGTAGTTGGTGGAGCTTTATTGTCCGTGCTTCATTATTCTCAATTGTTTATTAAACAAATGTATAATTACAAACTACAAGTTTCTGAATATTTTGTACATAGACCAATTTTTTGTAAATTTCTTCTCAAGTCTTTCTCGAGTAAGAAGGTCGATTTTTATTTGTCATGCACATTCCACGATGAAGCGTTGATTATTTTACCTCAAAGACATGATGATGGTGGACGGATTTGTAGTTAATCCCTGAATATAGAACAGCCAGCCAGGGTAAATCTACTTAATTTAATTTAATGTTTGTCTATGTAGCTCCGTTCTCCTGTGTGAGAATCTATGTACACATACACTATGTGGCAGAAATAATGAAGCTCTGGCTTCATTTTGTCGAGGAGAAAGAGTCAGATTGAAACCCTACAACAAATCCAAATGGAATCTAATCCAATTCTGTGCTTTGGGTGGTTCAGGTTCATTCGATGAAATTTCAAAGTCAAAACGCAACCAAAGCCGAAATCAAAAGCTAACTTTGAATCCATCCGTTGACAACGCAAAAAATGGAAATGCACATCTACATACATACGTATGAACTCCTCAGTCAATACGTACGTATAGATACAGAGATTCGGCAGGCCTGCTTCGGTTGGATGATTGCTTCTCTATGCATCAGTGAAGGAAAGGGTTCATTAACTGATAGTGAACGAGTGGGATTATAGGATTCGATCAGTGGCTATACATAAATTACATTGATTTCCTTTCCTCATGTCGGTCGTTGGTACTTATCTCCAGGGTGGTGGTGGTGGTGTAAGGTAGGGCGTTGTTGTTGGATAGATGGGTGGGTGGGCATGTTCAGATCTCAGCATTATTGTAAGTTTGTTTTCTCCTTCCTGATTACACTGGTTATTTTTAGAATCGCAACTACATGTACATTACGACGATATGACTGTGCAACGGAATTTTCGATATTCGACGAATTTAATAAATGAAAACAAACGGTGTAGATTCAATGACGAGTCAATTTATCCAGAATTTTAATTTCTGCATCTTCACCAATATTAAATTCAGTACACCAAGAGAGATTACATTGTACATTTAGATTTTCGTTGAATGAATTTGGTCAGAGAGGTGGAGAGCAGAGTTCAGTTTAGTTTTGCAGGAGGATTGTGTTTTTGGTTAGGATTCTCATTTAGCGTTTATATAGCACACTTTCTCCAGTTTTACTCCAGTGTTAAATAAACCAAGGCACGGATCCTGACTGGGGCAATCTAACGCCTTGTAGTGTTCTGGTCTGCAATACATATTCTTCTTCGTGATGAAGGTGCTAGTTCACCGTGCTTGATGTTTCTTCTTCATTTTGTGATCATAAAGCAACGGGCCGTGAAGACGACGAACCTCTCTGCCAGACCTCCACCCCTCCTCTTCTTCTCGCCCAGGCCTTTGCAGCAGTGCAAAAGAAGGGCTGGCTGGCTGAGTAACAAACCCGAATAATAAAACCACAAGGGAAAACATACTACACTAGTGATTTTACTACTACGAATAAATGACTCCCTGATTTCGGGATAAAAGACATAAAATTCTGGCGTTTTCTACAAAAGTACAAAAACTTGGAGGACAACAAACGCTAACCAACCACGCATTATTATACATTTAGTAAAAGGCGGAAAGCAGGCTTGCAAAAGTGCAACAGTGAAAACTCGTTCAGCAGAATGTGAACAGAGCAGCGGAATATTTTCTCATGTGGCCTTCATTACTTTTTTGCTGTTGCACTAGATAAAATTCTGCCGAGTCGCCTGCTTTAACCGACTGGATTTACATTGCATTACATTATTTTCGGTGTTCCACTTACTCTTCCACATTATGCATAATTCCTTTGTTTGTATGGTAATTCTACACTTTGGGGCTTGTACTTTTACCCTATTTTTGCACGAAATACGAAAAGTTTAGCATGTACAGTAATCAGATTGTGTAACGTCTTTAGGCTGTTTTAGAGTCGACATTTGTTTTTTTAGATCAGTCTATATTTGTATTTCGAGTGAGAGTTGTTAAAACGGGTGGTGCAAAAGTGTCTTGAGAATAATCACCTGAGTTCCTTTATTTCGCAATAATTTCTACTTTTTGTCCACAATCAGTTATGAAATCAGCTCGTATCGTGAGGGGAAGAAGGATGTGACGGTTGGCATAATAATTTTTATCGTCGTCAACAAAAATGTCAATTATATAAAGTATACAACCAAAAGCACCGGCGGTATAAATGCAAGGAACATATCATTTGTTTTCAACACTTTCTCCAGCATTTGTGGTTCTCATATTAACCACTTGAATTGCAAAACCAGCCACACAACAACCCCAACGAACTTTTCACGAGACCACTTGAGTAATGTAAATTTCTTGTGTTATGATGAATCTGAAGTGTTCCCACTCCGATAGAATAGTCGTAAAACGTCGACAATAGTCAATTTACCCACCAATTTTTTTGCAATAGAATGATAATGAGGTTTGATAAGATAAATTGCACCAGCCCTTGTGACATGTCCTTAATCCGATTACGTAAAGGTTTGTTTATAATGGGAGACCGCTAAAGGAATACGTAATACGGTTTTGTCATGAACGCATTGTACATATTTCCACCGTTGTAGTAAAAATTCCGATAGACTACTTACGTATCAAAAATACTCAATACTTGGCTGCTACTCTGAATGTCAATGCATTTTCCAGTGCCATTCAATTAAATGCATCAATCGAGTAAATATGTTTTTATTGCTTTATGGACTTGAAGTTTTATTAAAAACGCTGAGCACATAAATGCATTTGAATCATTTTAAGTAGTCTGAATAAACATTGCATAATGCATGTAGGTAACTCAGCCTGGATTAAATGACGACCATATCCAAACATGTTATGCTGTTCATCATTGCTTCATTCTCTCGTATACCATTTAAACCACAACAAACGATTAAACAAACTAAAAACCCGTTGATTGACGGACGGGACGGAATCTTGGATTCCGTGACTGTCGGCGGCTGGCATATTGTACATTTCATCGTCCACTTCTCATTCTTTGTTTTGAGCTGGTGGTGGTGGTAGCAGCAGCAACACCGCCACTGCACACTCGAGGTATTACCAATAAAATTCCTCTTTCAAGATTTGAGCCTTCTTCAAGTCGACGTACTTACTGCACATTAATTACCGCAATTATTATTAGGCAATCCTTTCATTCACATTTCATCCACTAGGTTCATGTTTATGAACAACATGGTTTTCTAGGATTGCATGCATTCCGTGTTTGTTTCATTTCTTTGTCCGTCGACGCCAACCACTTAAAGCAGTAGTAAATGACGGAAATTTAGGCAACATTTAAAATTCTTTATGGCCCTTAATGGTCCAAGGAGCTGCTTTTAGAGGTGGTGCAAGTATATGAACAAAAAATGTGGTTTGCTAGATATACCGGCTTATGTAATAACGTTCCGTTTCACTCTCTGCAGAACGTGAACAAGGTAAAAATATTTGTGTTACTGGCGTTTAAACGAAAATCGTGAAAAAGTATTTTGTTTTAAAACTTTGGCGATGTAGTTGCGAATTTCGGATTATTTGCTGGGTGAAAGCACGCAGTAGGTGTCAGAATTAATTTGTGTTTGTGGAAGCCTTATTTTTTCGTTTCGTTTCTATACTGGATGGAATTCCTCCAAAAAATTAAGCAAGACGAAGGAAAGCATGCGGTATTACTAAAAATGTAATACTGTATTACTGCGGTATTACACAGTAGTAGTTTGTTGGTTTGAAAAGAGTTCGTGCAAATCCAAACCAAATACTTCCGGCTTAATCCTTCATTTTAATCCTTTGGGGGAGGTCCATCAGTCTAAACTTGGTTGAAATCTGGATGGCTACTCAAAATTGTGAACAAGTGGGTTCACACTCTCACTATTCGTCAGCAAGCTAAACGTCCTTTCACCAAATGAATGGAAGGGAGGGAGTCCAATCTGGGCCATCGACTCATTTACCAACTATAAAGCGTATTGTTTATTTACTCCATGCAACGCTTTTGTTGATAAAATAACAAGGCACACACGTGAATACAAACCTAAATATGTACAAAATCTAGTTCTTACTCTGGTCTATCAAATGGTACATGTTGTGTGAGGAACTATGTACATACGTTTCCAATTTTATGCTATTTTTAGACATCTAAATATATAACATAAGTAAGTATGTAAGTAAATATGTAGTTCTAGCCTGCCGAGTAATTTGCTACGGAGTTGCCTCAAAATGATAAAATGGGTATGAACATTCGAATTTTATTATTTTGTGTACAGTTATAAAAGGAACATGCGAATGAAACCAAGTAAAGTGCGTATACATGGAATGAAAAATCCAAAGTTCAAGAATGGAGCAAAAATGAGGAGAATGACAGAAGGGATTGAGAAGAGAAAGCTCTGAAGCCAGAAGTCTAAGCCAACTCACTTGTAATAACAAAATATGACAATAAATCATAAAAA